TGTGTGTATGTGTGTGTGTGTGTGTACCGTCAAATTGGATCTGCCCCTCCTTCTCCAGCAGAGCATGAAGTAGAGTCTGGGGTTTTTTTTTCTCCCCCAGGTGCCTGTCGGGGCCTGGGTTTCAGCTGTCCACACCACAGCAGTGGACAACGAGCTTAAAGCCCCTGATGGCTCTGGGCGCTGACTCTCGTCTTTTTAATTCTTGAATGCTGCTACCATGGGTGTTGATTATAGGTCCAAGTCAAACAAAATCACTGTCACTGTCAATCTTTTCTCCATCTATCATGATGTTGCCTATTGGTCCAGTGGTGAGGATTTTTGTGTTCTTAATGTTCAGAAGTAATTCATATTGAAAGCTATAGTATTTGATCTTCCACAGCAAGTGGTTCAAGTCCCCCTCCCTTTCAGAAAGCAAGGATGTATCATCTGCATAACTCAGGTTGTTGAGTCTTGCTCTAGTCCTGTTGCTAAGGACTCGGCCTCCTAACAACATTCCCAAAGTGAGATGAAGCTTTATCATCCTTCCTTCTAAGGAGCACTTTTTCTGGTTGCATTTTCTCCAAGACTGGTTTGTTCTCCTGGCAATCAACGAGATAGTCGGTATACTTCTCCAACATCACAACTCAAAATTAATTCTTCTGCAATCCTTAATCACTGCCCAGCAAGCAGATGCACAGCAGGTGATTGGAAAGACCATGGCTTGATTGAGGCACACCTTAGTCTTTAAACTGACACATTACTGTTCTTCAGGTCTTTGGTGAAATACCTGAAACAATGTTATACATCTCTTGTTCTCTTGACAGCTGGTACCAAGGTTATTGACTATGGATCCAAGTAAAATGAAATAATTGACAATTTCAGTCTTTTCTCTGTCATGATGTTACCTATTGACTCAGTGGTGAAGATTGGACTGAATGAATATAGAAATGAAAAGAAAAAAGATTTAGGCAAAGGAAGGTGCTCTTTTTTTTCTCCTGATAACATACCTGTTGTAAGGCATGGTTTTATCTCTTTAACTTTTCTTTCCAGGGGTCCTTTCCCCCTTTTCGTTCCTCTTCACTTTAACTCCTTTGCATGGCCTACCTTTCACTAGATATGTCTCTGTTATATTGCCTTAATAAACCTTTTTCACTTAAAAAGGAAAACAAATCAAGGAAAGTCTCCCTGGGTGGTGGCTACACAGTTGAGGAATCAGAAAAAGCAATAAGACACTGTCCACTTTGCAAGTGGCCACAACAGAAACTTTAGGTGCCAAGCATGCACAAGGAACACATGGCCATGAGACTTATTGAGAGAGGACATCCCAACCCGAGGTGGACAAATATGTGGGTACGTGTGTCCCAAGGCTCAATTAAAATCACACTATGCTGAAGAGCAAAAAGAGTGAATGTGACCTCAGAATCCACACTAGGTACTCTGGCATCAGCTTGGGATTGGAGATAGGAGAGGGGGTCCATCCTAGTTTATGCAGCCTTTAGGAACCAGGGTGTTGTTGTGGTTTTGTTTTATTTTAATGTGTTGTTTTGGTTTTGTTTTTATTTTCAGAAATGAAGAAGAATGTCCTACAGGAAAGGATTATAAATCCCTAATGGCAGAAAAAGAGAGAGGCTTGTTAGGTGAAAATGGGCTCTAGGGAGAAGACGAGAAACACAGGCTTTTAAAGAGAGGTGGG